CGGACAACATTCTACAACTACAGTATAGCTGGTTGTACAAAGTCTAATAAAGTTTTGGCATGACTGCCGAATTTTTTAAAAAAAAAAAAAAAAAAAAAAAAAAAAATGTTAGGGTTAGGTTAGGGTTAGGCTAGAGTTAGGTTAGAGTTAGATTAGGGTTAGATAGGGTTAGAATTTAGGTTTAGAGTAGTGTAAAATTTTGAAAGGAACATTTTTGCTTAATCACAAAACAATGATTATCTTAGTAAAATTTTGAGATATTAACGATTTTATGATAGGGGCACAAAGTGCATGGGGCACTTTCTAGTCCTTTCCTTTAAAAAAACTCTAAAAAAAGTGAGAATATGGTGTAGATTTTCAAAATCTAATCTTTAAAATTTTCTAGTGAGTGTATTGAAAAACTCATTCATTGTTTTTCTATTAATCATTTAGATATTTCATTGTAATACTCTTACAAACTAAACTCGAACTATACTTTAGTCAAGTCTGAGTCTGGTTTGATTTCAGACTAGACTTGGACTTTTATATTCAGCCTTTTTAGTTAAGTCTGAGTTTGGTTCGAGTCTGGTTCGAAGTCTGCAGACTAATCTGAATTTAAATTGTAGTTGGACCGAAAATTTTTTCGTATTATATAGTTTGTAGTGAAAAGCTTGGTACTGTTATGCTGAGTTCAACTTTGATAGATGTTAGAAGGGTTATAAATTAGACAATAAATTATATTATTTGTATAAACTATATAGTAAGTAGTTATTTGTCACGCCCAGTGCCAAATGATTAATAACAGACTTAATCTACTTCGTATATATTAAAAAGTTCGTATGTACTATATAGTGCGTAAAGTTTTATTTATTTTTAGCGTACGTACGTACTATCAAAACCTTCCCAATTTTCGCACGTCTGTATATGTTTGTACTATCGTGCTGTACTATTTTACTAACTATATACCTAAACAAATACTGTAAAAATGGATAAATATTCTATATACAACCTTTAATTATCTACAACATATTAAACCTTTTCATTTTTCTTGCAAATTACTATAAATGTATACTTTTGAATTTGTTAATAAAATTAAATTTTTTAATAAGATTCTAAATATGTGGTCCCTAAAATAGTTATAAAAATATGCGTCAGCATGAGTTTCATTCCAACCTGGTGGAGGTTCTTCTAAAGATATAGAAATTGGACCATATGTACCTCCTAACGGTGGTGTGGCACCAAAAATTCCAAATATTGAAATTGTTTCTACGCGAATGTAAAAATTTGATGCATTCGTAATTCGTGGCTCGTTGTTTAGATATGGCACGGCCCTTTTGAAAGAAATGATATTTATGAGATAATAATAACAACAACAACAACAATAATAATAACGATAATAATAATAGTAGTAATAAAAATAATAATAATTAATAATAATAAATAAACTACTTACCAGTCATAATTATTTGTGGTGTTTGTTAGATTAGTGGCGATGGATGTCGTATATGATCTATAAATAATATATATATATATCAAATAGGATCCTAAAAACTTGCTGCTGCAGCTTGAAAAATGGGATACCTTGCCATTAGGAGAGTAATATCTTTTTTTGCCTTTTCATCCGGCACTGCTTGTAAGTTGTTATATAAGAAAACATGAAACATATCAACAACTCTCGTGCTAATCTGACAAGGTGACTGATTCTATGATATATGATGTTTAGTTTCTGGTTCAATGATATATTGTTAGGGGGCCATTGCGATTGCGTTAAAGTTAGCACAGCTCATTCATTCTTCATAAAAAAAAAAAAAGAACATTAGCTTGAAATTTTTCTACCTGACCAAAAATACATGCATTTTCTTTTTCTTGCCAAGGTATTTTGCGAATATCCGGTGATGCTTTGCCTATAGAATATATTACATTATGCCTTTTGCTGGGCTATATTTGGTGCCCCTTTTTCACTGCCTGCTGAAGAAGTTTGGGGAGAACCGGAAGTAGGGACTTTGCCTTGACTTGATGATGGAGACGCGTTACCATTTGGAGAACTGGACTTAGGTAATTGATTCTGACCGTGACCTGGTACAGAATTACCACCAGATTTCGGCTCTGAACCACCTAATAAGCTTGAGGGAACAAAGCCTTGATTACTACCACCATAGGGATGTTACGGTCCTACAAGGACCATGGTCCGGACCGGTCTTTTGGACCAGTCCAACCAGTTTTCGGTCCTAAATTGAGGACCGGTCTGGACCAGTCCAAAGCCTATGGAATGACCTTATTGGCTAAAAAAAAAAATGGCGATGACCGTATCTACAAGTTTCCAAAGTCAGCCTAATTCAGTAATTTATAGATTTTTGATCGGTAACTTGGGGTTTACTAAATTTCCTCATCACTTCACTATCGGAGTACTATATAAATTTAATTAATAGCAAATATACTCCGATATGTGAATAATTAGTAAGAAATGGTGGAAAAAATTAGTAAACTCGGTAACTTGTCGATTCAGTCGTTGTAGTGATGCAGTAGAATCGTTCCAATGACTTATGCCGCAACTAGTTACGACAAACCATTGGGATGTTTCTACTGCATCATTAGGCATTGGCAATTTTTTTCAATTGTCCCAGGATTTATGATGATAGCTTTAAGGTCTTTTTATATGCAGCGATCATTAAAACTACATAGCTTATTTTTGAAAACCAGCGATTTATGGACCGGTTTATGGACCGGTCCTGGACCATGGTCCAGTCCGCGGTCCTCTGGTAGGACAGGTCTTTGGGACCAAGACCGGGCAATTGATTTACATCAGCCAATCAGACGAATGTCCTCCTATGAGGTCTGAACTCGGATCTTTTACGGAACACTAGCCCGAAGTGACACAAATCCTTAACGATCTCGGGATACCATGATTTAATTTCAACAATTTTGGGCTCGTTAGAATCGTCTCATTGAGGAGGCATTTTCTACAGGGGATCCCCAGATTTCCGGGTCGTAATGGCCGGAATGCGTCGTGGTTAGGGTCGGGTTAGGGCTGAGTTAGGGTTA